TCTTTCCCTTTGTCCTCCGCCGCCAGCGGCTCCGGGTCCTCCTCACTATCCTCCCCTGTCTCATCTCCCTCGTCCGCTAGAATAAGTAGCTGAAGTTGTCGGTTCTTGCATCGATGACCCGGACTGAATTTTTCGTCGCATTTAAAACAGAGTCCCCGGGTCCGCCGTTGCTGAATCTCGTCCTCCGTGAGCTGTCGAAACACCCCTGCCTCGCTAGTCGGAAACGTCTGCCCGAGGCCACTTCCCGATCTAGTGCCTTGCCCTAGCGCCGCCTCCTGGTTTTTTTTGGAACGAAGGGAGCTCTCAGGAAGTAAGGGGCTCGAGTGGGGGCTTCCAGAAACTCCCCCAAAACGCCCCCAAGTTTCTGATATGGGCCCACGGCCCAACTTAATCCTCCTAACCCTATCAGCAGCCTCATTACGGGCCTCCACTTGTTGGGCCAGGTCCATCATCTCATGCAATCCATTGGGCCGGTGCATCTTCAACTCGGCCCGGATATCTTCCCTGATCCCATGAAGGAAAGCCCCCTTGAAAACAGTTTCAGGCACTCCTTGAATCTGGGCCGCAGTTGACTCGAACTCATCCCTGTAATCTGCCACCGACGAGCGTTGCCTGAGGGCCATTAGTTGCTGCACCGGATCTACCTCCATGGCACGCCCAAAACGTCGCATCACCGCCGCACGAAGTTCCCGCCAAGATCGGAATAGGTCTTGCGCGTCAGCCCACTGGAACCAACCCAGGGCTCTGCCCTCCATACACATCGAAGCTACCACCACTTTCTCCTCCTCATCCACATCGTTCACGGCGAAATACCGATCCGCCCTAAACACCCACCCCTAGGGATCTTCTCCATGGAACTGGGGCATCTCGAGCCTTCTTCCCCGGTGCTCTGCTCGCATCCTCGGTCGCGGCGGTGACTCTGGGCGGTACTCCCGATCGTATCGCCGAGGCTCCTCGTGTCGGGGAGGGGGTGGTGGCGTCACCGGCCTAAGGTTCGGCGGTGGTTGGCGCAAGTCAGGAAACCGCTGAGGACCAGCGTCGAACCGTGGAGGTAGTTGAGGGTGTCTCTGGAGGAGCTCCGCCTGCCGGAGTAGTATATTCTCCGACTGCTGCACCGATCCTTGAACTTCCCCCATCTGGACGCCAATCTCGACCACATCCTCCTGGAGTTTAGGGAGTGGTTCCATCATAGCCTCCATGATTTGCATGGCCTCGTGAAACGTATCCATCCTTTGCTCGAGTCGAGTCAACTTCTCGGTCGGAAGTTGTTCGCCGGAAGCGCCTGCCATGGATCGACCTCTCTGATACCAAATTGTTACATTCCTTCACAGTCTCCGGTTCACAGATGAAACCAAACAAGAAGATTCTCTAGAAATTCAGATAGGTCCTTTTATTGATTCAACCAACAGATCTCCGTGGAGGTGAATTCCTCCCCAGAGAATTACAGAAAAGTAATGGAAATAGAAAGAACCAAGGAAAGATAGAAATGGGATAATTCGAGGTTCCCAGCCTCCAAAGTCTGAACAGAAAATACTCAATTCCCAGACAACATGTCTCACGTCCCAACTCTTGCCTAAATACCTCTCAGCCCATATCGTAACTATAACTAACTTGACACGTCAGCCTCTTTTTTTCCTAATACCACTTCCTTCCCCTAATTCCTGCGGTATTCCCTTCCTGCCCTTTTTCCTAGAATAAACTAACGTAATAGGAGGCCTAACATCAAGTGCCCAATCTTGCCCTTGCTGTCAATTGCCAATTTCACGGACTGAGCCCACTCGAGATAATTCTGCCCATTGAGTTTCGTGGCCGTGAGTCGCATGTTAGAATTCTGCAAATAAAATTTTGTAGGAACTGGAACGGAAGAATTTGAAGGAACTGAAACGGAAGAATTTGCAGGTGACTAGTTCCGGAAGAGCCTGAGACTAGATTTATTTTGGGTGCCAGCCATCGCTGCCTTGCAAGACATCGTGAAGGAGAAAGAAAAAGAAAAGAAAAGAGCACGGTGGCTCTGATACCATATAGGGTTAGGGAAGAAAAAGATAATGTTTCTCCTTAAATTACAAAGAACGAGTACGGGAATAAATAGCAAAAGAATGCCCACAGAATCAGCAATTACAGCTCACACACAATCAGCAAATCCTCTGCTAAGGAATGGAAACTACATTTATTTATGATTTATTTGCAAAAATAAAATATCCTACAAATCCGATATGTATATACATATTTTTGTGTGTGTGTATAAAATGTAATATATAACATATGGGCAGATCTCCATGGATGAGAAAAGCCACAATAAAACGGAACAAAAATAAAACAAAAAGAAAAACAAAAGGAAGGAAAGGTGACTGATTTCTTTTCACTGTGAATAGGTGCATGTTGAAAAGCAAACATGAGAAGCTATAATTTATTTCGCCATTTGGTCTTTAATGCAACTGCTGACAGTGTTATCAATTACTGCATTGGTTTTTGTTTCTTTTGGATGTACAGGCACATGGAATGATTGAGATGCCAAATCCCCCTCCAGAGATTTTGATCTTTGAACCTTTTATTGAAACCGATGAGATAATTGTTTCATCCAAGTCTGCTGATGAATATGGGCATCAACTCAGATGGAAAGGACAGAGTAGATGGGTGGAAATAACTGTTGGTGTTGTAGGAAAACGCGGATCTATGAGCTCTTTGAGTCCTAGCATCACTGTCAAGGAAAGTGGTGATATTTTATCACTCGAGGAGAAGTTTCAAGGTAATCTTTTCTAACATTATTCGATTCTCACAATTTAAATGCATTTTCTTTTAAGTTCTTAATCACTAGCACATCCACTTTGCATCGTCTAATCTTTCAGTCTTAAAAAAATGTTTATATTTGATAATTCTTGGTGTTATATCATAATTTGAGTGGACTAGAAAACGTGGATGAAGCTCCCAACATAAACATTGTTAAATTGTTACTAGTCCTGTTATTTCACGCTTCTATCATACATTATAATTGAAAATGAGACTTTATCATCCGTCTTTATATTATTCTACTTGACAGGTGGCACTGGCATCAATCTGACTCCACCTCCACTTTCCATTATCAGGTTTCTTAAGAACCCTTGGATTTCTTTTTCGGGAATGTTTTGCATGTTTCATGCTTCAATCTTTCTGGTAAAAAGAATTTTCATGTGATTAATGATTAAGCTTTCTGGCAGAGTTGAGCTCCTTGAGAGATTTTGAAAATAGGATTTGTGCTACTAATGTTGCTGATGTATCTTAACATATCTGTGAACACATCCATAACTACACATATTGTTGATGTTATTGTTAAGAATTTGTGAGCACTTTTTTTTGTCCCTAATTTATTACTTAAGTATTTTCCATCTATATTTTTAATGAATTATGGAGGTGTGCTTATGGTATTTAACCTTAGGTTGAGGGTTTGAGTCACTGTGTGTGTGGGTTTGGGTGTGTGTTGTTTGATGAGCAAAAAAAACCAGTCTGCATGAGTTAACCCGTGTTGTACTGGAGCGTCAAGGTCATGAATGTGCTTTTGACTCATTTATTTTTTGCCGGTACATGTTTGATTGTTTGTAAAGTGGTATTCTTTTGCAATACAAGATAGTGGGTATCATCTACATGACATTATCTTGCTGAAACTCTCTTGTTCCTGGTATCTTCATAACGTGTGAACATGTTGGCATACTTTGCCGTGATAATAATATCTTCCTTTTTCATCCGTGAATCAGCAATGAGGCCTTGGAAAGATGTAAGAAGAATATTGAACTTATTGCAAATACTTTGCAACTAGAGGGATTTTCACGAATCGATGCATTTGTGAACGTAGACAGCGGAGAGGTAAATTCACCGGACGGATATACCTGTTCTGGTATACATGAGAAGATTTTAGCTAGTTCAATTTTCCTCACTCCATTGTCAATCTCCCCTTTCTGCAGGTGTTGATTATAGAAGTCAATACTGTTCCTGGAATGACACCTTCTACTGTTCTGATTCATCAGGTGAATTCTAAATATTCGCATCTACATACAAATATTTCATCTCTTTTGTTCTCTCTCCTATTTGAATTCTGCTACTTTTCTCTCAATTCTTCTCTTCACTCTGTCTCTCTCTCTCTACATACATCTTTTTGTTTTCTTAAAGATTAAAGATGGGCCTCTCTGTCTCTCTCTAGTCAATCTTGGGCCTACATCATACATACATCTTTTTGTTTTATTAAAGATTAAAGATCGGGGTCTACAAACAACCACATGATATGCCCTCCAATATAAAATATATCATATGGTGCATATGAGTAATCCTAAATCCTATACTGCAAATGTGTTGAGGAAAGACGAAATATGTCTAATTAAGAAACTATGTAAACACATTAACTCTACTAGATTATCAGCGTGAAGCCTGTGTATGGTGACTTCTAACTGACTGGAAATTTATTTTGCATCTCAGGCATTAGCAGAAGAACCGCCGCTATATCCTCAGCAATTCTTTCGTACCCTTCTTAATTTGGCGGCAGAGAGGTCTTTGTAATGTTCTTGCCACTGAACTTAAAGTCATTGCTTTCTTCAAATGGTTTGGGCTTTTCTCTGAATTGAACTCATGAACTTCATTCCAAGATTTCTTCTAGTAAATGTTTTCTTTTTCGATTGGAATGAATATTCATTCTTGCTTTTGTAAAGCAGACGTGCGAAACTCTGTTGTGTACTTTTCCTTTTAAAAAAAAAATTATATAAAAGTAATCTTAGTTGGGTTTCACACTTATCCGCGGAAAGAAACAAAAATGCGAGGGAAAGAAACTGATTTTTCTGGTTTGTTAAACAAAGAAACTGAATTTGGTTCTTAGTTGGATTTCGGCATACTGCACGTGATACATTTGAGGGCAAATCATTTGTTTTTAATACAAGAAAAGGTAATCAAACTAGGATATGAATTATAAGATGACTTTTTTCCTTAGAAAAAAATAAACCTAAAGACGAACACCCACCGTGGGGCTCGAATCAATGACCACAAGGATAAGAGTAGTGGTGGCAATTCGTGTCATGTGTCGTGTTTTGATCGTTTCTTTTTAAATTTACAGTCAATCCGGATACGACCCATGACACGAAATTTTTTAAAAACCGTAACATGAACACGACACAACTACTTTACGGGTTGACACGACACGACACGAAATTGACCAGTGAACCTGAAATTGACATGAAAATTGTATATTTTTATTTAGTGTTTTACATATTAGAAATAACTTAAAATTCATAACACACTGAAATACAATAACATCCATTGAAATTAAGTAAATAGTAGTATAAGATTTTGAGTATAACTATTATGATATCACAAATTCATAATAAAATAAAAAATATATAATGAAAAATATATGTATTTTTTAGTTTTTTACGAGTTTCGTGTCGTGTTTGGATTATGCGGGTCCAACTTGAAATTGACACATTTTTTTCGTGTCAATTTCAGGTCGACTCAATTCTGACCCGAACCTCTTTTTCTCAACTCTAACCCGCAAAAATCGTGTCGTTTCCGAATCGTGTTGTCGTATCATGACCTATATTGACGGCCTTAGATAAGAGCCTTGCGCTCTACCGACTGAGATAGTCGGGCTTATTGGCATGTGGTGGCTCTTTTTATTTTAACTAATTTACTAGTAACGATTTCTTTAATATTTCTCTCTCATTTGAGATACTAATTTAATAGAGCATACATGTTATTGGAAAAAGAATAAAAGGACAAGTCAAATCTTAATTTTCCTCATAATTTTAAAACCAAAAATTAACTTGTGGCCTTATTAAAAATTTTGACTAATAATCATATAAACAAGAACATTTTACCATTCCTATTTTTAAAATGAGTAGAGTAGTTATGTTTGCAATCTAAACATTTATAGATATCTCAATAATTAATACTCCTGTAATAAAGATTAAAAATTTATCCTTTAAAGATATTATTTTTATAATACTGAACTTAATCCTCTCATACCCAGAATCTAATTTTAATTTTCATTTGATTTATTAAATAATACAATTCAACTATTAGTGCATGGGATTTTATATTTGAAATTCAGTTTGTTATTTTGTCGCATTTTATGCCCCATTCATTTGCAAGCATTTAGGTTTTTGGTATTCAGAAAAGCACTTTTTGTATCTATTGTTGATTGAACCGACCAAGGGATGGACTGATATTCAATTGATGGAATTAAACGTGGAACTCAATACTGGATGTGCAAATGTTTTTTTTTTTTTTTAGAACGTAGTACATACCAGAAACTAAATTATGTAAATAATAAATTTTAAAATTATTTAAAATCAATAATAGTTACGTGGTAAATCGGTTATTTACCGTGTAAATAGTTCATTTACAACTAGTGAAAACATTTTTTCACGTAAATTTTCTTTTTACGACTGGCAAAAAGATTTTTTTTACGGAAATGAAGATTTTTTAAGATTTTTTACCACATAAGTTATTTTTTACGATACATAAATGAACCATTTTTGCAATAAATGATTCATTTACTATGTAAATTATTATTTACTTTAAATAGTTTTAAAATCTGCTATTTAGTAAATTTAATTTCAAAACTCTGCTATCTACTATTTTTTTTTTTTTTTTGTCTCCTATCATTTTTCTGGTACATTGTTGAACCTATCTACTTCGCAGATAAGTAAAAAGATGCTAAAACTAATGTAACTCTAAGAAACTAAATATTAAAAGGACGTTTTTATTTACACATCATTTTTTACTCTCTACACCCTCTTTTTCCTTAAATTTTTTTATGACAAAAAGATTCTCACATACGATCACAAAAAAGGACAATTATGACATATTTAATTATGTAATTAAATTTCATTCAAAAAAGAAACTAATTATGTAGTTTTTATCTCCCTCCATACACCCACATGTTATGTCCTAAATTATAAAGTATTACTATTTTAAAATTTATAAAAAAAAAAAAATTCTAGTTTTAACCTTTTAATGATTATTCTAAAAAGTTGCATTGATATAATGTTAATCTTTCTTTTCTATTGGTTGTCTGACGATTTTTATTTTTTAATTTCATTTTTATATTTTTTACTTTTTTTGTAAATACTAATAATTTCATTTTATTTTTTTTTCTTATTATAAATTTGGATTGATTTTTTTTCCCATTTTATCTTCCTTTTGTTTTTGTTTTTGTCTTTGTTTTGAAAGAAGGTTTCACACCCAAAATTTCAACAACAAAAAAATATATATGAAGGGATGGATAAATAATACAATTTAAATAAAAAATTAAAATAAAATGGTGGGTGTGAAAGGAAAATTGAAGTGGACAAGAATTAAATACTTTATAAAAATAGTTAAGGGTACTTTTAGAATAATAGGGGTGTGTATAAAAAGTAAATTTAGTTCTTTCAAAATTATATAGGGTCATGTGTATTTAAAAAGGAGTGTCGAGAGTAAAAAAAGATGTGTGAATAGAACTATCCATATTAAAAATACATATTTTAGGATTTGTTGACTCTTAAAGAAACGTCATTTTTTTATTTTTATTTTTTTGTGTTAGAACCTCTGTTCAAATTTTCAAAGAATTTAATAGAGAAAATTTTAGGGTTTATAAAGATGAAATTAACATTAACTAAAGATGTAAGGGTATGTTTTTTTGTTCTCTAAAAAATACTTTCCAATTATAATTAATGTTGGTGTATTTTTTTCTCTTTAAAATGAATATTATTTCTATATATAGTTAATGTGGGGTATATTAATGAGTTTTAATGTAATTTTAACATAATATAAAATTGTAATAAATATAATTTATGATTTGGTGGGGACATTAATGAATTTAGTGAGTACAAATATAATCACTCTTTTAAAAATTAAAATCATATCAACAATAACAGTTTACCATTCCTATTTTTGAAAATTAATAACACTGTATTGTTCCTAATTCTATTTGTAATACGTAAAAAAAATTGCACTTAAGGAAACAAATGATCATCTTTCTTATCTATTTTCGTTCTTTTCTAACATGTTTCACTTTCTGATTACATTCCATTGCAAGTTTGTAACTCTGTCTCCAATCTATTCCTAAAGGGAAAATTACATCTGGCACCTAGAGTTGTTTGTAGATTGTTCGCGGTGTATCTTAAACCAACCAAAAATTTTTGAATTGGGATTTTCCCAACCATTTACCAATCTAAAAGTATTGTCAACTCACCCAACTTAAAAGTATCGAATTCTTGCAGAGGAGGCGTTTTTGTCTTCTGATGGCAACAGCTGTGGTGTGTGAAGTTAATGCGTCGCAATTTGACGACGTCTTTTTGACCTCGCCGTGTGTCTCTCAAAGTCTCCCATCTTTCCCCGTGGTCCTTTTCTTGGTTGCATACTCGTCGGAGTCTTTTGATTGCGGTGCTTAGGGTATCGTTTTGTTTTGTGTGTTTTTTTATTGTAATAATTGTGAATTTTACACCGCTTTATTGATGTGTTTGTGTTGTTTCTTGCTGTTGGGTTGTCTGCTAGGGTGTGCATGGCTTTTGTGCTATGGACTTGTCGATTTTCATTTATTGGATTTTTCCATTGATTATAAAAAGATTTCCTAAAGAGTCATGTGTTGGATCAGTAATGTACTTTTAACAGGTTTCTAGTTTCTAAACTTATTAAACACTTATTACCTTTGAACGTCTCATTCGAATTTATTGATATAATTGGTTGTTTATAAGGATGGAGATTTTTTTTCTTTTTCTTTAGTTTGTGGTCATACGTGCCAGAATTGGTTTTTCTTTCTTTTCTTTTTTGTTTTTTTAGTTTTTTGTTTGAAGTTGTCAGAATTCATTTTGTATTTGAAATATATTATTACCTTAAAAGATGTAATATGATGGTATCAATAATGAATTGTGTAATGTTGAATATTAAAGAGTGAACTTTTTTGGAATTGAACCAGCAACTCCCCACTTAAACCCCCACCTGAAAGGTCATTAGACCAAGAGGTCCCTAAATACCATTAGACGAAGAGATCCCTAAATACCATTAGACGGAGAGGTCTTAAGCAAGAGTGAACTTTTTATTACCCTTAAAGTAGAAGATTAAAATGTAAATCCAAAATCGTAAGTGTTATATGATTTCATTCACTAACTCTTTTTTCCTAAACTTTCGAATATTGTTTTCCTTTTCCTTTTTTTCCCCCTTAATAATATCCAGTGACTACTAATAGTCACACTCACTCACGTTAACAACGAGGAATTCATGAATTAAGATCGCCAAAGACAATTAAACAAGTACCCTGATAGCGTAAGTCCTATTCCGAACGCCCAAGCCTGCAAAACACACACGAAAATGCATACAAACGTATTACGTTTAGCAAGTAAATTAGATTAAAAAAAAATATTTTGAAGGTACATAATTATACGAACCCCACCAACAACGTGACGAAACCCATAGCCAAATATGGGACTTCGATTCAAGATCTTCAAGAATTGATGGAAACCGCGACCCGTTGCTTAGCAAAGCAAGAACCTTTGTATGGTGAAAACGCCACAAACGAGTATGGAAATTCCGTTTGATAAGTCAAGTTGAACACCACAAGGAAAACCTTGATAAGTTCGGAATAGTTCTTCAAGAACTCAAGAAGAATAACTCACAATATGAATAAACATCAAAACTTTATTTATTTTCATTTTTCAGCCTTAAATAGGCGAGTATAAGCTGAAA